CGGCTGGCGGCTGTTTGGCTGGGCGGTTTAAAGCTGCTTCCAATCGCTCGATGTACAGACTCCACCACTGGGCTCCGTAGTGCCAGCCTCTGGTTTGGCTTTAGGTAAAGGGCTTTACCGCCATTGCTTGTCTTGGTTACTTTGACAGGAATTCACTCTCCAAACACTATCGCTTGTGTCAAGATTTCTGGGGAAAGGGTGTCCTCCTCCTCCGGAGGAAAGGGTATCGGAAGGGGTGTCAGCCAGGGCCAGGGGGAGATTTGGGTGGTCACTCTCTGAAGGGCAGGGTGCTAGGTTGGGGAGTCATTAACGGGGGAGAAAAGCATTAGGGTGGTGATTTGGGGGCGGGTTAAGGGCTTCTCAGGGATTATATGAATTATAGAATTGCAGCTTCCCGTTTGCTTTACTCTGTGTTCTGAAGACTGGGAATTTGTCTGTTTGTCCTGTGCAGGGGTGATCTGGTCCCTTCTCCAGAACCTGCCGGGGCTTCCCCTGGCACGGTCCAGGCCCCCGCTAACAGGCACTCTGCCCGGGGAAGCCTCCAGCAGGAGTACACGGGGCAGGTTTGGGTCTGGATCTCAGTGAACCAAAGACCTTGTTAAGGGGGGTGATTAAGCCTTTTATTAAGATGCAGCCAAACTCTTTTCCCAGGGAAATAACAGCTTCATCTTAAGTTTTAAAAATCATTCCCTCTCTTCCCCCAAACTGAGCCCCCTGTAAGGGAGAGGGGCATTTAGAAAAGGACTGGGAGGGCCACAGTGCCCACAGGACCCTTCTCTTCCATCCCTCCCCCATCTGCCAGAGCTTGTCCTGACCTGGGCGATGCGTTTGGAGAGTTCTGTTTAGGTAAGAGGGTACTTTAACAGATTAGTACTGAAAACACAAAGCAATAATTTTTGTTACTGAGACAAGAGTCTGTATGTCTGTTTTTTTAAATATTTCCTAATTAAAGAAGAGCTGCATTTTATTGGGTTTATTTTTATTCTATATACTTCAAATTTGGGTCTGCGGACAGCGCTTTCCTCCCTCTTGGTATATGCGCTGAACTGCTTCCGTGCCCCCTCCAGACATCCAAGGCCAGCTGTGCTGCTGCTGGGCTGTGATTCACTCTCTGGCCAGTGCTGCCACTGCCTGGAGGCTGGGGCTCCGGTTTCAGGGTGGGCATTTTTTTTAAAAGAAATAAAGCTGTGTTTTTAAGCCAGTAAGTTATTACACTCCAATGTTTGTTCTCTCCACACCTGTAACCCTTTTTCCAGATTTCAGTTTTAAATTCCTAATAAATTATTTGAAAACTGTCCCTCTCTGTCGTTATTTGGGGGTGGGAGACTTTCAGATGGAGGAGATTGCAGGTGAACTCGAACCTGGCGGGAGTCACATCCTGCCATTAGGATGAAAGCCCCAGGCAGGGCTCTGACTCTGTGTTCTGCTCCCAGACTTTGGCAGCGGCCCAGTTTATAAAACGAGACAGATCTGGTTTTGATAGAGATGGTGTCTCTTCTCTGCATTACAGAGGTTTTGTACGGATATTTGTAGGTTCAAGGGAGGAGGAGATAGCGTGGTGCTTAGAAGTTTGGCTCAGATGCTCTGGATTCAGTGACTATGGTGGACCAAGGCGGCTAGATCTAAGAAAGTAAAACGTAGAGATTGGAAAGGAAGAGAAGTCCTTAATAGGCAACTCTACAAGAGAAAGGTAAGTGATAACATTGTAAAACAGGGTGGGGAGCCCTGTGCAAGAGCTCTTAATTGGAGAATTCTTAAAAATAAGGCTCAAGCCTTTAAGTTTAGAAACCAGCTGTAAGCTGGGATGTCCTCACAAGCATAGGGAGGACCAGCGGCTTTGTATGCAGCACAGGTTGGGGGAAACCAAAAATAGCATCGGTGGAAAAATCTTTACCTTCTGGGGTTTTTCTCATGGGGCACTCTTGTAATGCTCGCGTGCTCACTTTCCCACACTTGGTGATCTTCTTGTCAAATTAAAATGTATGAAATCTGAGATACGACAGTATTTTTGATTTGTGACTTAACCTCCAATAAACTGGCTTTTTTTTCTTGGCAACATCAGTAATGAATCAGACATTGAGAAGTGAGTAAAAAGGAACCACGTAGTCTTAAGGTTCACAGCTAAGAGAACAGAGAAATAATAAAAAAAGAGTAAAGGTGGCCAAAGGAGAAAGGGAAACCACTTAAATGGATATCGAAGGGAAAGTCAGCAGATTGATCTGTGGGCAAAAGATTAAATCCTTGTTTCTGAACTACGGTACAGACTGTCCTTTACATCAGCCTTTAATGTTTGTTCAGTGTTCTCACTATTAGGACACAAGAATCTGTAACTCGGCATCTGTTCAGCTTTAGCTAACCTGTGAGTGGGGAATCCTGGAGAATCGGAGAGCTTGCAAGAGATCAAAAAAGCGGGAATGGTTCTGGTTGTTCATCAGCATGTCTACCTTTAACTAGGTGTCCTATAGGTACGTCAACACCCTATGCACACTATGGGCGTCCTGGCATCATTTCAGCCACTGTGAGGGGGAAGATGTCCTCATTGCCCCTTACAGAAATGTGCATTTGAACCTACTGAAGGGTGCTGAACCCTAAGCTTCCTGAATAGGCACTCTGGTGTATTAGGCTGTTGCGGAAAGGTGGGCTTTGCATCTTTCTTTGCTCTTAAAAATTGAAGGCTTGCTTGGTGCTTTAGAAATAAATGCAGACTCTCACTATCAAGCAAGCATCATTATCTTGAGTGTGTCAAAATGCTAAACCTGTAGCCCTGACAGCATTAGAGCCCCCGGAGTCTGAATACGAGTGCTGTATTTTGGACTTACCCCTGGCTGACTCCAGGAAGCTTTTTCTTACCTTTTTTTTGATCTTATTTCAAGGTTCCCAACTTGCCTCATGCCTTGGTACAGAGAACCAAAGGGCCTAACTGGGTTCTGCTTTGGTGCTGGAGAAAGAGAAACTGCTGTCTCTGAGCTTCTGAAGTCTGCTGCGCATGCTGAAACTTCCAAGGCCATGGTAGGGGGTTTGGAACTAGATGATCTTTAAGGTCCCTTCCAACCCAAACCATTCTATGATTCTATGATTTCCTCCCTTAAGGTCATGTAAAAACAGACACTGTTCCTTGTTTAAGCCAAATACAGAGGCTTTCCAGGTTGCTTGGCTCCTGTTTTTTGCCTAGTAGTATCTTCTTTATGGTTTCAAAGTGAAAAACAGCTTGAATTTTTTTCAGTTCAGCTCATGCCAAGTGGTCATTTGGGCTGAATGGATGACCTGCACCTTATTCTCTGAATTAGGCCAGGAGAATCCATGGAGAGATACAGGATTAATAGTAAGGGAATACCATAAAAAGAGGATGCCAGTATTAGTAGGATGGATATTAGTCTGCCAGCGATTTCCAACACAACTCTTAAAAATGTCCAGATCTTTCAGGCTGGCTTCTAATAGTAGCATTAAAAGAATTTAATGGCAACAATCTAGAGAGCAAATATTTGCCTTCCTGGCTTTCAGAGATTTAACTCCACTGGCCTTCAACTGGCCACGTCACAACTTGCAGCCCACAGCCTCTGATGGAAGAAGTCTACATTTAGTAACCCAAATACTGGCTTGTTTATCTTCTATTCATGTCAAGGTGAGCTTGTCATATAAAGAGCTGCACTTTTCTTTAGCATCGGTCTATCTATCAAGCCCTCCGAGAATGAAGGCCCTGGTCCTGCTTTTCCTGCTGTCTGGTGTGTAGGTGGCAACTTCTGCCCCCCAGCACCCCTTGGACTGGTAATGCCGTGCCTAACTCTAACCTTTGTGCCTCTCCTCAGCGGGCACAGCCAGCGCTGCCGTCTCACCCCGGGCCGTATGGCAGCTTCGCAGCATGCTCAAATGCACCATGCCGGACAGCCATCCTCTGCTGGAATTTGCTGACTACGGCTGCTACTGCGGCTTGGGAGGCCACGGGACACCAGTGGATGAGCTTGACAGGTTTTTAAGACTCTGCTTTTACAGACCTCTTTCCTTGTCTGTGCTTTAATGGTTCTGCACACCAGCTTCATTTCTGCTGGCCCTGTCTATGAATGTTCACAAAACTCTCTGCTCCTGTGAATGAAGCTTTGCCTCAAAGACTGATTCAAGGAAAAAAAGGTTGTCTAGCATCACACCTTGATGTCTCATTACTAAGATAAAATATAATCCCAACAACTCTGTTTTCTTTTCTGTGGCAGCTAAACTGCGCTTGTTCTAGCATTTTGGTTTTTTGCAGCAGCAGTGCTGTGCCAGCAGCCCGGACGCAGCGCTGAGCGCACTGCCCAGCGCATGACCATCCACACAGGCTGGGCTGAGCTGCAAAATGCTAAGAAGTGGTTTGGGTAGTTTAGAGATCATACAAGACTGATAGCCAAGATGCAGTGAATTGTGTCAGCTGTTAGCTCTTCAGCTGCCAGGCACTGATGGGGAACATAGGGTCAATGCTGTCTTTTGTTTTCCCTGTGCCCAGTGGACGACTCTGTGAAGATGCTCCAGTAAGTAATCCACTTACCAGACACCTCTTGGACTATTAGCTGGCAGAACGCTGTCCCTTTGAGGTCCTTTGTGTCTGCTCTCCTATCACTGGGTATCTTTTTTATTTGTTCAGTGCCTTGTCAAAGCAATACTAGTGTATTTACGTGTCTTACAGGTCAGCTGAATTTGCATTTCTGGTATTTTCTGACCTTTTCCTCCCTGTTTCCCAGGTGCTGTCAAGCACATGATGGCTGCTACTCTCAGGCAAAGAAACTAGAATCATGCAAATTCCTGTGGGACAACCCCTACACAAAGACATACAGCTTCAGCTGCTCTGGCGAGCAGATTACGTGTAGCAGTACGTCCACTTCCATGTCACTCTGCTTCAAACGCTACTCCAGTCTCTCTTCTGGAGAAATGGGGCTGCCTTACACTCGATGCTTCTGCGGCAGGGAGGCACAGTGCACGTCCCTGCCAGGGGGGCTGGTTGCTAGAAACGGGGCACCTCACACAGGCACCGGAGTGAATCCTGTCCCTGTAGCACACAAGCTAAACTTTATGGAAGATGTATGGTATCGCAGCAGCATGTAGGTTAGCCTGCCCTCTCTTCAGGGGATTGAGTCCCTGTGGTGCTTTCCTGGGAGTCCCTTTAGTGGCAGCATTGAAGAGATCAGCACGCTAACTGCGAAGTGTTACGCAGCTCCTGCCAGACACCTCTGATGCAATGGTGGAGCTTTTATAGGGATCTGGAACGGAGATAAACAGCAGATAGTCTGGCAAACACAACTGCAGGGAAGGAAGGAGCAAGGAGATTGCTGGGCCGGAGCGCACAGCTTTGTGGCCAGAGGGTTAGCGGGGAGAAGCACGCACCCCCCCACATCGATGGCAGCAGGCAAACGGCTGTGCCCTGGCAGCACAAACGCCTGCCTGAGGCGCTGCCACGCCTGGGGAAGGAGCTGTGGGGTCTGACCGCTCCTGCTCTCTCCTCCAGGCAAGAACACCGAATGCGAGATGTTCATCTGCAACTGCGACCGCACGGCTGCCATGTGCTTCGCCAAGGCGCCCTACAACCCCGAGCACAGCAGGATGGACACCAAGAAATACTGCACCTAGTCCTCTCCCCCCTCCTGCCCCTCAGGGCGGTAACGGGCCCGCGGCGGCCCGCCACTA